ACATAGTAACAATAATAGTACCTAAGCATGTATTATGATAATACTAGTTTATAACTGAAACGTATTAAAATTGAATTAAAATTCATTCCAATTCTATTAAAATTTAACAAAATATTAAGAAATACATGCTTTCTGAATGCTGAAGTTTAAAAAAGGGAGCAGTATTTTGAAATTATCGTAGCTTTAAAAAAATATACGACTTCAAAAATCGCTTATTTCTACACAATCATTAATATCTAGTAATTCTACTAATAATTTTGATTTTTGTGTATGTACTTCATGCAAAATTCTACTAATCGACTTACTAAATTATTAGAAACTGTACGTTAACACGACAAAATAGGTAAAGATACATAGGGGATAGAAACAAATATAAGTTCAAGCAAGAGGGACAATTTTACTGCGCTTTAAGTATGATTTACTAATTATATCGATATTGTTAATATTAGAGGGTAAATCAAACTGCTACAACAGAAAGCGTACGTTTCAGTATTCTAGAACGTATACATACGTACGTGTCTGAGATTCAAAAATTTCATACCCAATCGCATATTCGTTTCATCTCCTCTCCATAAAGCGTCCGTTCAATTTTTCAATCTCTTAAGAACACATCAACTACAATTCTTCGAAGAACGCAACTCTGGCCTTGGTGGACCCAGACTTCACTTTCTTTAACGTACTATACTTATTCTCACCGAGTCGCACTTGTTCTTCATGTAATTGATCTAACTCGCACTGTTTCTCTCCGACCTTCATAACTTCTATCTCTGTACGCAATTCTCTAAGTTGCTCTTGCAAGTGTTTGCTCTTTTCCCAGTAATCGACTCTTTCTTTCTCTATTTCCAGGGAGAGCTGATCGACGTCTCCATCGGCAATTAGATCATATGAAGTTAGGTCAGCTGGCAGAGGTTCAGTATCCAATTGCAGTGTCTGAAGATCCGCTTGCAAATCTGACGGAAGTACTTGTGTCGATGGGAACAGATTTGGCACAGGCTATGAAAATATTAAGAGAAATATTAATTTTAATTATATGAATGAAATAAAACTATATTTCATTCTAACTTTATAAATTATATTTAATTATTAGACTGCTGATTTTTATGCATTTATGAAGAATTTAAGAGGTACAAAAATGCACAGAATGAACATAATATATAAAAATATATAAATATGTCCAAAATACAGTACTCCTTATAATATCTAGTAAATAAGGTAATTATCTACCTAGGTTTCATTTTTTAACTTATATTCATAAAAATATAAATTTGCATAAAAATCCATAGTCTATTAATTATTCCTATGATTTGGATGCATACAGCTATAGTAGCAGTATAAGCGTTTCTGCTGAGGAATTCCAACAGTTTTTCCTTTGCTTCCTTTTCAGCAATTCGTGCACGCAGCAGTTCATCTTTTAATTTTTCTGCTTCTGCTGCTCTTCGCTCTGATTCTTGTACCAGCCTTTCTGTAAGCAACTCTGCCTCTCTGGTCTTTCGTTCTAGGTGAACCTTTTCCTCTTCTGTCTTCATATTATTCAATCGTATACGTGTGATCTCCTGTTCTGCTTCTGAAGCCTTCTGACTTAATAGCATGGCCTCCTCTTCAGCCACGCGACTTTTCTCTGCTAGTAAATCTGCAGTTTCTTCAGACCTTCTCTATAATAATACGAAATTTTTTAAAAATAATTTTTAGGTATTACAGTAATGCAAAGTTACTTATGTTGTCTTACAAGTGCTTCGTTTGCTAGACGAATTTCTTCCTGATACTGCAGAAGACGTTGCTCCATAGCAGCCTTTTCCCTTTCTGCTGCTTCTCTGAGTTGTTTTTCTCGTGCCAGTTTATTTCTCTCGATTTGTCTCCTAACAAAACAATATTATTACAGAGTAAAAGTTATACATTGTTTAAAAAATAATAAGTTAATATAGTAATATAATATAGTAGTAATTACTTATCCATTAAAAAATACCTTTAGAAAGTATTTACATGATTCCTTTGAAGATGTTCCACTTTTAAATGTTTAAATAAATATACTAACCTTTTTAAACATCTATTTAATTATTTCTCAGTTCCTATAAAATAATATAAAACAACAAAAAGAAAAGAGAAATAGAGGTTAATTAGGATACTGTTATAGTGAAATATACATAAATTTTTCATGCATACAATTATTAGATACATCTTTTATAATTCATCAAAAAAATATCTTAAACTTATTTTTTCATTTTTAGTTAATAAAACATTCCAGTTCACAAGCTGCAGTCAAATTATAAGAATTTAATTTATAATAGAAAGAATATCATATATATTTAACATTGCATTAAAGTTGTATTAAAAAGCAATGAAAATTTAAGCAACATTTCGCGAAATATATATGTGTGAAAACGTACCTCGACTTCTCCTCTTTGGCCTGTGCTTTCATCTGTTGCACCTCCATAGAATCAGGTTTGCGTCTCCTCATAAACAGATCGTGGTTGCCAATACACAGGTCCAGGATCTTAACAAATAATATGTGAGCAGCTTTGTCATTGTTTTGTTCGTCGAATCCTAAAGCTATCAAACCCTTCACCCAGCTGCCAACATCTGACTGTTTTTTTACCAGTTTATTCATCCGAACTTTCTGCGAGAAGAACACGAAGTTCGGCGACGTTTTCTCCACCGGCTTTATTACGAACTTCTTGTCATCAAAACTGATATGTCGTATCTCCGACCACGTGAATGTTGTTTTCGGTGCCAGCTTGTTCTCCTTCTCGTAAATGTTCAGTCCCAAGGCCGTGACTCCCAACCAAAGGTCAGTTTCTTTTTTATTCTAATAAGTTATATCGCTGAATAAAAATACTTTTACAATAAAAATTTTATTTTATCTGCAAAATGTTATTGCACTTACACTAATAGGGAAATAATTTACGCCATACATATCAAGATCTTGAGCAATTTTTAGATATTCCATTTCTGCTTCATCTCTTGACATTCCACGATGATCAGCATACCAAATTTTTATTCTATCTTCCCACATTTCAGGCGTCATCTGATACTGATCGATAACTCTCTGTGGCAACAAATCCTCACTAGCGAGCATTCCTGGACGGTATGATACTTCATCATAGTCTCCATACTATAACGTTTAAGGTCACAGATTAGTTCAAGTAAAAATGTTTATTTTAAAAAGATAACTGGAGGTACAATCACCTTCGCCTGAACTGCATAAGAGGCTAACAGAACAGATGCCTCTGGTGGACAATAAATATCCATTGAAAGGATGGCCTGTTTCACTTGCAGGAAGAACAAGTGTTGTGTTACTTCTTGCACCAATTCTTCAGCAACATCCTCGGGATAGAATTTTGCCAGAAACATAAAAGGTGTCGTAGGTTGCTGAGAAATACACTGATCTTGTACTAAAATATAAGTTTATCAAAGCATTAATAAAGTATGATTTATGAAACAAATTAGCCTATGATCAATGGATTTAATATTCCACCTTTTTTGTCCAATTTTAACCACGATATAAATCCTTTAGCATCTTCATACTGGAGTCCAAAATACCACGTTTCTCTTAATCCTATTGTACGACAGACCAAATCGAACAGATCTCTTCCCGTTGATCTCCACTGTAATGTAAATAGTCTAAAGTAGTTGTTTGCATGATATTTGACAGTAACAAAGTAACCAAGTAATTTAAGTAGGCACTAACCTCCAAACTGAATTCGAGTTCAGCGTCCAGGGTACAGACTTTAACGGGGAAAGATTTTCCAGACTTTTTCCTTCGAAATGGTGGCATTTTACTCCTCATTATGTTCACTCAACATCACGAAAGAAGAAGGGTAATCAATATCGCAAAAAAAATGGAAGAAAAAAAGAACGAAAGCACCTAAGATTATTCTGCGGGGCTTTGCTCGGCTTTAACCGCTTCTCATATTGTTCAAAATAATCCAGAAAAAATATGAATGATAGATAACCTTACCTACGCATTCGCAACATATTGACGAAATACATTGAAACACGTAATAACGATTCGATCCACTCGAATTCCCGTGGAACAGCGTAACGATCTCTCGAACCGTGGATTTCCTTGTTAAATCACATTCCGTTGGCCTTTTTTCCAAACTTTATTTTCGGAGAGAAAAAAAAACAGCAGCAGAATTGATAGCGATACATAAACTAATCTCTCCGCCTTTTGAAACAGTTTATTTCACCAATTTTAGCCAATTCGAGTAACTTCGCTCGAGACAGTGACTATACTGACAGTCTAGATAATCTAACATTTTGTTTTTCGATAGTTTGAAATCTGCAACATCAATTGATCGATATCGCGGTTTCATTTTAATTCTTTATAAATGTAATTTATTTGGAATAATATTTTTAAGGACGACGTTAGAAAAGGGAATAGAATAGTATAAATTTGATATAATTTTTCTTTTTTTGAAGAGATCTACACTATCGGTAATGTTGAAATTTCGGTGGCTAAGGTCGAACTGCCATAAAGTTAATAATCGATAACGATAACAGTCGATTATGAACTAAAAATTTTATTATATTTTATATTGATAATAATAGTAATTTGTTATTTACTTTCATTATTTTATTAGCGATTTATTTGAATTGATTAGTCTAATAATGCTCAGAAGAATAGTAATTTCTGTAAGGGTCTGCGTTACCAATAAGGTAAGATACAGGATACGTTAAGCAGCAATATAAAGAGGGAAAAAGAATGTATATTTAGATCGTTAAGGATGATACTTCACAATTTTAAAAGCTATGAATTAGTGAACACGAATATAAACTCTGAAATCTGCAATTTTTAATTACCTAAAATCGAGCGATTATAGTTAAGCATACTTTACTGATGTACTATAAGAATCATAAAACTATAGTTCGATTTATAAAATATGTCAATGATCAGTACCGATCAAATTTGGAAATCGATTCTAGTTCTAGGAGTACCAATTAATATACATGCAACAAATATTAGCACAACAATGCCAGATCTAGTTCTGTGTTAATCTTACCTCATAATAGTACATTTTACTGTTATAATTGGTATACAAAAAATTCGTTATGTAATTTTTCAAATATCGAACCGGGGAAAGATCAAATTATAACATTTTACTATTCCCTCTCTTAGAATCCTATTCTCTCTATTCTCTTTTTGCATTATAGGTTTCGTAAAGATGTTGAAAGTGTATATTGACGATGGATGCTACTGAATGCAGTTTTGTTTGTTTTAATGAGACGAATAGGAATACACACGAACTAGTGAAAGGTAGTCGAAAGTAAGCAGTGGAATCGAATAACTAAGGCAAGACTATTTATTGCCTACTCAGTGATAAACTGTAGAAAAAGGTATCATACGCCGTTGGGCGAAACTGTTTAAAAAAAAAAATAATTTATTCCTGCTCGGTTCTCTTGCAAGATATGCTTCGTTAATTTAGTCCAATCATTTAATATGACTATTATGTTTACTTTCAGTTAGGATTAGATGCAAATTATGCATATATTAGTATATTCTATAGAAAGGTTATTTTTATTGAAATAGAATGTTACAAAATTTCATTGTTAGGTTATGTATATACAATATATGTTGATAAGGTCTTTTACTCGTAAATTCAGCTACTTTTATTACTAACTATTATATACTAGTAATTATAATGTAATCTATATTACTATAATTGACATAGAATTTACAAATACATTTATTATACTTTGAAGCATTATAAATGTTTTCAAAGAATTTCCAAATTTTTTCATTTAATAATTTGTTATTTTATTTTCAGAATATTTTCATACGAATAATGTAGTGAGTTCGGTGCAACGAGAGAATGGTAAACTTTCCGTTTCTTCTGTGTGTTTTTAACGCTTGGTCAAGAACTCGGCTATTAATTGCAATCATAACTGGTAGAAGAAGAAAGGAAAACTGCAGAATCATGAGGAATTTGCTGGTTCCATCAATGTCACTTTCTCGACCTTTCATTCGATAATTTTTCCTCCCTCCACGGCATTTCGCGCGCGAATCGCCAACAAAATTAAATATAGTTACATATGAGACATTTCTACCTCTGACGGTAGTCTTGTAAAGCAGTCGCATACCATCATCTGCATAACGATATTTCCAGTGACTATACGGTATGTAATCATATTTTATTTGACCGTATTTAACAAGTAGATTACAAATGTTTAAATTTGTTCCTGTGCTTTCTTGTGAATCATTTATCCCATATATTAAGCATGTCCTACTACTTTATCCCGTCTGTTTTTCACATAAACAAATATCATTTCTAGAAGATAACTTGAACAATTGCTGCTTTTTCGCAAGTTACCAAAGAAAGGACACTCTTTGTACACCTCTGCATAAAATCTTCGTACACATCATCATCTTTAAAAATTCAAGATTGTCCTAATATTTCGTCGCGGAGTGTAGTAATTAAACTGTGGATTTTTATGCACTTATGGGAAACTTAGGGGTGTAAAAATGCACGTAATGCATGTAACATATAAATATCCAAAATAGAGTTTAATAATTTATTATGATATCTGGTAGACGAAACAAGTTTCTATTTAAATTTCATTCCTTCAGTTATGTTCATAAAAATATGAATTTGCATAAAAATCTGCAGTTTAGTAATAATAGCCATTCTTATTTTATTTCCTGGTTAAATCGTGTTCTAGAGAACGGAATATCGATGTCGACCAGTGTGTGTATTCGATGCTGGTCAAGAGATCTTTAAAGGTGACCGTAGCTCTCTTCGAACTCCTTTGATGCGTGGGGATAACTGGAGCTACCAGTTAAGTCAAGTGTATCGCGTCGGGGCGAAGTAGTACACTATTTCTTTCCGGAGTGCGTGCATCGGATCGAGGTTCCAGAGGATTGGCAGCCGTATAAGAGAATAGAGAAGAACATCCTGGAAGTCTAGGGAGGGCAGTACGCGCAGGAACTACTGTTCAACGACTCGCTAATCGACACACAAAAGACATGAATCTCCTTCATTTCGTAAGTGTCTCTTTTTTCATTTAACTCTTTCGATTTTCCTTGCGTAAAAGATAGCGAATATTTTTTTAGCATGATTGCTGAATGAATATCGAAGAAATCATAAAAATTGCGAAAATACAAATAGTATAACAGAGTGGGAATTTTTAAATGAAAGTTAAAATTAAAAGATTGCGCATTTATGAACTTCTGTTCAATTAACGTTTTCAACTTTGAAAATTTGTTTGAAAATAAAATGCTTTTTAATAAAATTGTCGAGTGAATTTTGGAAAAAGACTATAGTAAAATTGTAAGGACACAGATGGTACAGTATAATCGGAACATGTTAATGAAAATTAAAATTAAGAAATTTAATATTTATATGCTTATGTCATTTATTTAAAAAGTTCCTATATTCGAAAAGTTAATTTAACATTTCCTTGTAACTTATTGCAAATTATTTTAAGTAAATTTCATGAATTTTGTTATTGAAAAACAAATAAAAGTAAGACTTTTTACAGTACAATTAGTTAAATTCCCGAGTAAACGTTTTATTATTTATTCAGAAATTTGATTCAACATCTGCTCATGAAATTTGTAAACCCATTACGACTGCCAGAACTATTTATAGTTAATGTATGTGCAACAGTTAGAAAGTAATTAAATCTTTAATGAAGAATCGAAAGTAAACTTGAAATAACGATACTAACGTGTTCACTATGTTAATAAGTTATATATAGAATACATATAAATATTTTTATCATTGTTACCGAAGAAGTAATATTATCTTCACGTTATGCATTGTGTCTGACACAATTCTTCCCAGTGACAAAGCCATCTTCATTCAACTATATCCCTGTATATTTTTTCTAACGTTCCATTAAAAACTAATTACTTTTGTGTCTAGTAAAAATATTGCTCGACATCAGGAAGCCTAGAAAACGCTGATTATGATAATCTCTGCCATTAAGTGCGAAATCGATGAATTCAATGGAAATAGGAAATTAGCCGACTATAATTTTGCTTATATTGTATAGAAGTATGGGGAGAAATAGAATTTAATGGTTGTAAAATTCTATATACTTAATGCTTTGCAAATTCTCTACTTCTAGTATTTTATCTTTTTTTCCTTATTAAAATAAAAAAAGGATAAGTCTCTATGATTCAAGAGTATAAAGTTTATCATACTTTTATTACTTTGCCAATTCTCTTGTATTATCATTACTTATTAGTAGACTGCGGAGTTTTACATATTCGGATGAAATTTAAAATTGCAAAAATGCACAAAATGCACATAATAAATGCAAAATATAATTAGGTTTATAAAAATACGAGTTTCCACAAAAATCCGCAATCTACTCATTAGTATTTATTTTTATATTATTGTATCCTTTTCCTTTTTTAGTTTTAGTATAGTAATAGTATTTTTTTATTGTGAATGTAGCAGAGGAGAAAGAAGAAATTGATGAAACAAATTGTTTCTTCTTACAGGTGGCTGCGGTTATATGGATAACAACCGTGACAGCGACATTGGAATCCGATTCCCATGGAAACTGGAGCAACGAAAAGGTAAACGCGAAGAACTTTCCTGTATCATAATACGCCGACGATTTGCAAATCTTTTCTCAAGTGATTTCATTTTCCCAGCTCCGATTACTGTTTGCAGATCCATTTGCATTCCACTCTTCTAAACTTCCAAATTAGTTGGTGAAGATTTCTATATTTCTCTCTTTTCTAAATCTGCCACGCAATTTTTCTATGTATATTTCTTAACTTTTAAACTAAGGGGCTTTAACTAAAAGGAAATTATTAGATAAATTTCCTTTTAACATTTCTAATATAACAATTTTTAGTAATTTTAAGTAATCTTTTTCCTTGTTTATTGCGAATTTCCATTAAATTTTAATGATATTTGTTACAAGAAAGCGGGATTCTTCTGACTAATAAAAAAGTTCAGATTAGATAACAGCTATATGCAATCCAAGAGAGAAATCTCAATCGGTATACCGGAGAAACGGTGTGTCGAGGTCGTATTAGCACGTCTGCTTCGAGGAATTCACCAAACCACTTATTTTCCATCCCCCTTTAATAATCCTTGTCTTTCCACGTTGATTAGAAAGTTTTGACTTCCTGTCGCTTTGCTATGACGTTAATGTATAGCATATCATTCCCCCTAATAGTATTTTGATGAACCAGTGATCGGTTTTATGACATCACATTGATCATAAGGAAACAATTGTGAACAATTTCATTTTATGAATATCGCTGTTCACAAATAGAATTATTGGTTGAGAGGTAATAAAGGATCATTAAGTAAATTAATTATCTTGAGGATTATAGTAAACATTGGTTCAGGGTTTTCTGGGTATTTTTTAAAAAGTCAATTGTTTTTTTATCACTATATATTCTTTACTTAAGCAAACGAAAGATACATTAATCTTATATTAAATTCTCTATATTTTTTATTGAAGAAAATGAGGATTATTAAATATCTTTTAAAAAATTCACTATTAATGTTTTCTTAACCTAAATCAAGTTCCATAAGCTGAAAATATATGTGTTTCTACTAGCCTCTCTGTAATATCTTTCAACCAAGAGGACTATAAATATACCCTTCAGAGAATCTATTACTAATATTTCCATAATCTAATTCAAATTCTATAAATTCAGGAAACCATTAAACAGAAGAAAAGCATAATGGTTGCTACAAAAGAAAATTAGCATTGTTTGTTACTAATATATATATCATCCTCGCAAGCAATTAGTACTGTTTCCATAATCTAACCTAAGATTCTTAATCTAACCATAAATCGGAGGAGCTCGATTCGCTTGTCCTTGAGAATGCAACAGTGAACCGAACTCAGAGCGGAAGTTACTTTCGACGCGGGACAAACAATACAGAACAAGTTTCGTTGCCTTACGTAAATCAGAAGAAGAACCTTTCACGTGTAACCCCCGCGGACCAATAGACACTATCGGGGGACATCCTTAACCTTCGGGCATAGAAATCTTTAACCTCGATCTACTTGCGGGCGTCATTCGAGTGCTACTTCGTGTACTGTCTCGACGATGCCTTGAACATACTTTTACAACTATGTATCTTGGTGGTTTTTTCAATTAATTTTCATGTATAGAATCGCTCGATATTTCTTATTACACATTATGCATCATTTGTATCATGTGTATCATATGTATCATGTATATGTACATTTATGTATCTCTCCAAAATTTATATTGGACAGAATTAATCTTTGAGTTTCTAACAAATTTATTGATAAACCAATCTAAATTTGGTTTCTGTCTTCTTCAAAATAATCCCTTACTGCAATGATATAACGATCAGGTTGGCTGTGTTGTGCCTCGAATGAATGTTGTAAGTCGATTGATGCGGGAGGGGATTATTTCGAATGGGACGGAAACCAAATTTAGATTGATTCACTAGGCAGAATTGATCTAGAAAGAGTTTCAGAATTACAAGTTGATCCAGTACGAGCTAATACTCGATAATTATAGATGAAACATTGTCAAACAAGGTTAGCGGTACATGCCTAACCTCACTTTATTTTTTAAATATAATTTGCACCTAACCATTTGCATTTTCAACCGTATGTATAAAATAACGATTTGCTATTATTAATGGAAAGAACAAAGTAGTCTTGTGGACAAATAGAAATATTCAAGTCTTGTAGATTTCATCTTAACAACATTTCAAATAGTCTTTACTTGTTTGCTTATAGGTTGTCCAGTCGAATGGCCTTCCAGCCAACCTTCATCCGCAAGTTTTAGGTGAAAGTCGTCCTTAACCTTCGCATGCTGCCTAGGTCATTTCACTCGCGTCTCATTCTCTTCCGACAAGTGCATCTAACAAAGTATAGCTTACACTTTCCCCCTGTGCTTCTACCCAGAAACGTTTACCCGCAACCAACGTGTCATTACACGCTTCGAGAAACCACCAGAATGCTCGTTTCTTGTTCGCTTATCAGGAACAAGTACGAAGTGGTCGAGTCTATTTTCAATTTTGTCGAAGAAGGTATGCTTTTATGCTTGTACAGATTTTTATGTCAAGGTTGTAATAAATCTATCGCGATCTGCTGGAATTTATCGAAATGTCGTGTGATGTTATAATTTCCATTCTTAATTTGCATAATCCATGAATAATATTCTGTGAATCACGCAGCATTTTATTATAATTTGCTGATATTGCATGTCTCAAATTTTTATAGTTTATGGATTACTCATATAGTTAGCAGAATTTAAGCTTCGCATTGTAATTTAGATTTTCTAGAAATTTGTATTTCTGTTAGGGATTATTTGGCTCATACTCATGAATGTACATACTTTGAATTATCGGCATATACTGAATTTCTGAGATAAGGGCAGCATTATTTCATAGTTATTCTACTTTCTCTTCTGTAGGTCACCTGCAGTAGCTTCTGCCCGACGTGAAACGCAATCTCCTGTAATTAGGGTTCGCAACCCGATTCATAAGGAAAGGAACGTTACTCAGTTAATTACTAGAAATCGTAATTAATCGTTGCATCGATTACAGTCGGAGCGAAATGCAAAATATATTTTTAGTAATATCTCGGAGAAAATCTCTTCCACTCCTATATCAGTATTTTATCTTCCTTATTTTTTCTGAAAATTTAAAAAGTGTAGTTAGTATTTGATAAACGTGGTGGATACTTGTATAAATTAGTGGTTTCACAAAATTTTAGGATTCTACGATAAACAAGCAGTTATTCACAAGAAATACGATATAGTGGTTATTCTGGAGGATATACACACACATAAAGGAATTTCCTCATACAAAAACTGCGAATACTTTCTCCACGCACTTTCAGATGAAAGCTGGTTCAGGGTTGACCCACCTACTGTCAAAAATTCGACGTAAACGATCCCGGTCGTTCCCTTTCTCTTTCTCTTCTCCTCCTCCCACATGAGGTAACAAATCTTTCTGCAAATTTGTTTACACCGTCTCTGCTCCAATTTAAACAACTCCGTTTTTTGTTCCAGGAATTTGTTCACTGGTGATTTAATGTGCAAAGTAAAGTAATCTTTCTGTCGTCATTCGACTCAGAAAGTAATTCTTCCCTATGATCTGATTCTTGAAGAAATGTTCTATCGGTAGCGCCATAATTAAGTTTTTTATTAATCATCTAATTTAAAAGGAAATTATCCTCTGGGCAGCAAAAACTATAAGAAACTTTTTACTAGGATATAAATTGATTCTAAATGATTCTTTTCCTAGCGATACAATTCCTGGAGAAATATTTCATTAACAATGTAATGATTAATTTTTCTCTAGCAAAACAAGTTTTAATAAGATTTCCCACTAGGAACGAAATTCTTGAAGAAATTTTTACTAGAACTAGCTTCCATAAGAAGTTAAAGATCTTAAAGCTGATACACTAGTTACGGAGACCTTGACAAAGACATTGACCATTCCACCAGTCCTGCATTTTTTTCAGCGAGCCATAGAATGTGAAAGTGCTGCCCTTTGTCGGTCGTGTGTCTCGAAAGAATGTTACAGAGTGCAGGACAATTCTGTACATGTTGCTGCACCATAATAACAGCCTCTCTAATTAAAAAATGCTTACCTCTCGTTCTTCAATCCCAAATGAAAGGGAATCTATTATTTATCTTCTCTGAATTATAAGTTGGGATAGTAAAACATTTTTCTTTTTTCACTGGAGAGAATGATTTTACTCAGCACAAAACATGCAAATAGAAAGACGATCTTTCTTTACTGTCTTATCTAGTGATTTCTCTTTTACCAATGCTGATTTCATCTTGTAAAACATCGTTCACCGATTATTTCCAATATTCTGAAAGATCCAGAACAAGTGAAGATATTGTCGACTCCATTCGGAGATTCTCCTTTTAGGGAGAAAAACCTCAAACAGTTCCCAAGCCACGCCGCGAATTTCTCCAGTGGTTATTTCCAGCAATTATCGGACAAGTTCTCTAAAGAATTCATCAGAATGTACCAACTATTCTGAACAAATTAAATATTGTTATATTATATGGGTTATCCTAGTAATTTTGGTGGATCATACTTTTATTCTAAATATGATTAGGGAAGAATCACAGGGAACATTTTTTTACTAATTAACAAGCATTATACTTTAGACTATTATATTTGTAATTACTAATTACACTTCGCAGCTACATTGTCTAGAACCTCAAAAATTTGAAAAAATATAATCCGAAGAGTAAAAACCATTAATTTCAATTTCAAACCAATTAAATTTGTCCAGCCCGCTTTTTATGGTATAGTATATAATGCATGCTATATCGTGAGCGAAGTAAAAATACTATACTAACCAATTACATATTACATTCCAGATTATTCGATAATAAATGAGTAATAGAGCGAAGAAAGGAGACATGATGACAAAAAGGAAGCTGGATCCTATAATTTATTGGAAGTGCATTCTAATGTGAGACTAGCCAAAATAGCTTGCTTTTAATAAGATTCAGAGCCAGTGCGCGACTCTCACTGGTTTTTCTTTTGCGCGAGCTGCAAGAATGCAGCGCGCATCTTTTCCTGTTTCGCCTTTCTTCTCGCTCGAATGGTACTGGAGAAAGGGAGACCGGTAGTCGGTACCGTAACGTCCACCTTTCTCTCATCTCGCCTGGCCAGCTGCGTTATTTTCAACCTCCTCTTGCTCGATGATACTCTACTTAAGCAAAATTTGTATCTTATATCCCCATTAATCTGATCTGTACCACCTATGGTCGTCTTCGATCTACCATAGTCCACAAAAAGTTTCGCTACTTCTTCAAAAAAATTTTATAGTTTCCTGTGAGTCGATGTTTTAAAGAAACATTGGATTTATTGAAAATGGAATCTTTGGTTTTCTAAGAATTCTTTACAGGATTCTTAGTTATAATATTTCTTATTTATCTTATATTTTAATGTATTCTTCATAAATTTCTTTGCTTTTCCATCAATCCATAAAAAGCTGTTTGTAGTAGAGAAATGAATTCTTCAAAAGAATGACATAATTTTCTGTGAGTACCTTTCTGTTCTTGTGATAAAAGTTTCTAAAGAAACATTGGACTTATTAAAATAGAATCCTGTTTCTATCAATGATTCTACAGGGAATTCCTATAGATAGATACCTAGCCTATAAAAGACAACTTATTTTTATTTCTTCTGAATCCTTTATAATATACTCAAAGGACCCCAAAAATCATAATTAATTGGATCACAAGCATCCAAATTTAGCAATTTCATTGATGAAGGTATTTATTTTGAAATTATTTGACACATTCTATTAGTAGTAAAAAGTAGTAACTAACAGTAAAATGAATTAATTATCAATTAGTCGAGTGAGTTTCACCAATTATTATTTATTTTTACCAAAATCATCGACTTGACGATTTTCTACTCTCGTTTGTCCACTCGGGGAGTCGTGAGTTTCATTTCTAGAGCTTCTTCATGATCTGTTTTCTACTTCTACTTGGAACAAATTGGGTCAGACGCTCGGCCTCGCCCACTGGCTCGTGCCTTGATGACTGGTACAGCCTGTCTATACAACGCGGAGCATTGCTTCTCTTATTGAAACACCGGTGCCTTCTGTGATTCTTTTTTTAACAACAGGAAAACGAACCATAAAGATCTGAACGCTATTGGAAACATTATTTCAAAAGGTTCTTCATTATCTTCTTCAAGTGTTTATCCTGAATGACAGTACAATAAAGCGTTGATTAATGGAGTAATTAATCATTCAAATATCGCGATCAATGGAGAATTTGAAAATGGCATCAAACAAACCAACCGGAAGAAACTAAACACAGTTATTTTACAGAATTTTCTATTATCGATGGATTTCGAGCTTTATGAATTATAGTACTGTAGTATTATAGAATCAATTATTGGAATGTCAATTAATAGATCATTTGATTAATAACATTTTTTTCATTTATAGAAACTTTTTGAACGTGCCTATGATCAAGATCTACTCAATAGCCAGAAACAAGAAGAAACTGAAAATATCGAACAACAATTTACAAATCAACATGAGAGAATCTTCAATTCCTCTGAAATTGCCAAAGCTATTAAAGAAGAGGAAGAAACGTTGACTGTGAAATTTCTTAATGAGAAAGAGGAAATTCATCAAGTGGTAGGTACACATTAATTTATTCTTGGATACAGGATCCTACACAAATTGGATAACTGAAAATCATTTAACTTTAGAAATATTATTAGACTTTATCACCTGACGCTAGATGTATTTTTGTCAAAATGTATTTTTCTCAAAAATATATGAAATATCCAAACATTATTATAATATCTGGTAGATAGGACAAATTTTTATTCAAATTTCATTTTCTTTTTAATTATAGTCATAAGAATATAAAAATATATAAAAACCTGAATTATATTTCAAAAGTATTTTTGAAAGAATAATTTATTATTATTTTAAACTTTAAGCAAAACATAAAACAATAGTTATCCTTATTTACAAGCAAAAGCTTGCATTAATCATATTTGTTAGTGAGAATAGTAAATTTTGTTGATTTATTAATATGTTAAAATAGTCTAACTGGTTTAAACGACTATATTTATAACTAATCGATTGGTTTTTTGAGCGAACTAAAGGAATAGAAGGATTTCCTCGCTTTCCCTTCCTGATTGATGGAAAGTATATAATTCGCCTTCGATGCTACACGAAGCGCTGACTAATCATATCGAATATTTGCGTCATTGAAATCGTGTAAACGAATAATAAAAACGTGTGAAAAATTACGTTAGTCCAGGTTACCGTCATCTCTTTATACAGATAATTTATAACATCAGGAATTCATATATATTGCAAGTTCCACGCGCATTTCTATTCTCGAATAATCCCCTGACATGCGCTTTCTCTCGAGCGTAAAAGGAAACGTCTGCAGGAGCGATTATTACGCTGTCCAGGTGCATTGGCGTTTATTTTTGCGTAAACAATCATACACCACGTGAATGCACGCCGGTTCTTTCAGTAAAAATATCTAATTTATTTGTAGTACGTACTTGAATATTGGAAAGTTATATTTACTACTAGATAGGATTAATTTTTTTTTATCTAGTTCCTTTTGTTCATTATTTTGGTATTCTTGGTTTTAGAGTTGAATGTTTAGTGATTTTGCTGAAGTTTGTATTCTTATCAAAATTCTAATTTCGATGATATCAATAATGTTGATAACAATTTTAAAATTGATTATTTATTCTCTAGTGTTTCATTATTTCAAATAATAATAACAATTTATATATGTATATATTTTCAATATATAATACTTTGTACATATTTAATAATATAATAATGTACATCTTTCCAGAATGAATCCCAACAGCAATTTTCTAAACAATTAGTTCAACCATATGTCCTACCTTTGAAAGCAAAAAGCTCTTCAGAAGACATATTAAACAAATCGCTCGATACCATTACGAGATTAGGAAGGACCAGTCAAAGTGCATTTAACGAGACAGTCACAGTGGAGTACATTCCATCTCAAGAAATAGTTCTACAAGATTCGAGCACAACTAGCAAATATTTCTCTCAAGAAAGTAACACCAGTGACATAGATCAATCTATTCCAGAAGAAAATCTAGATATTGAAAGTATAGGCGAATTTGGACAACGAGTACGCAGCTCATCTTCATCCAGACCAAGAAGTAACGAGAGTCACAGACGATTCAGAATAAAACAACCTCTCGATGCTTCATCGTTCTCCGAGGATCAAAGAAAACAGTATAGAAAGAGTGCTCGTCCTTACGTATTCAAAAAATTGAATACTTCAAACAGTAATCTAAACACGTCCTCGAAGGAACGACTTCCTTCCTCTCCGATGAAGAGCACAGAGTCTCAGAGAACCTTGAAGCAGAAGGAAACTGATGGAGATCGTGCTAACAGTTCATCCATAATTAAGGATGCTTCTTCATCGACTTCTGCTCCCATAATATCAGTTTCTTTAGGCAAATTTTCTGGACCAATAGTGGTTCCAGATTTTCCACGACAAAAGAAATACTCCTACACTACCACACCTGATTATACTGATAAAAACGAGGTTTCGAAGCTAACCACAGCTGTAACGGAATCAGTAAAATCAAAAGTTTCAGAAGATGGATATTTGGCGGCACCACCTGTTATCCTAAATCCTCTGCAGGTTGGTGTCGCCTTGATGAACGCTGGGCAAGATCTAAATTTAGTCAATGACCAAATCACATTGACAAAACTATATCCCCAGGACAAATCTGAAACACCAGAAGTTACCAAGATTGATACTCAGAGTTTGGTTCAAAATGACGCCCCAGTTTCTAGAAACTTGAGCTTCGACAGTGATCAGGTATCGCAACAAGAGCAAATTTCTGAGGTGATAGCCACAAACTCGCCAGTTCAGTCAGTTGAGATCCAAAAATCCGTGGAAATATTTCATACAGCCCCCATTCAGGAGATCCACTACCCTGTGGAGTTCATTCCTAGCGCCCAGCAGCTGCCATTATTAAAGCAGCATGCACAGGAAGACTATAGAAAGCCAGGAAGGAGTCAATCAAAGGATCAGAGACAAAGTCAGATTAATATATACAGGAGCAACGAGATCTTGGACGAAAGTATTAACAACCAAGAACATAGTCGTTATGAGTATAATGTGAATGAGAATGACGTTATTTATTCAGCAGGAAGTGGGCAAGTCGACCAAACCGTGGCTTTGCCTCGTCCAGTAGATGTCAAACCCATTTTCGGGGTTACGGGGCAAGTAGAGGGCGCTCAATATGATCAAGTAACACACTCTAGAGTGCAAGGAATTCCTGAAGCAAAAATTAAATTGAGTAACTACGAGCTGCCAAAGGGACCAGCCCCTGCTGTTGTACAACCATCAAGGGGAATAGAGAGTCTTTCGGGTTTGACTAATTTAGAGAACCTGCAAGTGACTCAAGAAGCGCCTCAGATTCTGCTGACCAAAGTTACCAGCGAACCACCGACTGAATTGAGGCTCCTGATGTCGATGTCACAGCCGTATTCCGTGGAGAAAAATATCCATATGCCCCAGACGGTGGACGTGATTGAAAAAAAGGTGCCATACCCAGTGGAGAAAGTGATAGAGAAGCAGATAACGATTCCCCAACCGTTCCCTGTACACATACCGATAGACAGGGTAGTAGAGAAGCAGATACGAATCCCATATCCTGTCCACGTGGAGAAGGTGATTGAGAAGAAAGTACCATTCGCCATCCAGAGGTTTATCATACCTTTACCAATTCACTTTAGGGTTTCTCAACCGGTTCCAATTCCGGTGGAGAAGGTGGTAGAGAAACCTGTACCGGTACCAGTGCCTGTGGAGAAGGTCGTTGAGAAGCCAGTGCTCCTACCTAGACCGTACTCGATAGAAATCGAGAAAGGTAGACCATATCCCTTGGAGAATAGTAAACATATAAAATCAGCCCCAATCTATAATATTCAGCCTGATGGTAATTATCAGCAATCGGTAAGGCAGAATTTCCAGACTCCAGTGGAGCCAATTTATGGAACTGATAATGAGCAAAGTTACTATAATTCGACAAATCAGTTTTATGGACAAGGGTATTTGGCCTTGAATCGCCCTCATGCTAGGCAACCATTGATACACTCATTGCCGAAGAAATTTGCGTCATACAGCGTTCAACATCCTCATTCGGTGACTTATTCAGTAACTAATGGTAATTTGGTGGCCTATGGAAGGACGTCGGAGAAAGACAAGGTTAAGGACGAGTACGTAGGTCCAGTACCAAGGAAAACTGCCACTACAATACAATCCAAGTCTCTGTACTCAGCACCGGATGTTCAGACAACGTTGAGAAGAACGAGGCAGGAAATTGGTAACACTGGAAACTTCAGGCAGTCCAAGATGGAATACGGGTTCAAGCCACCCATGGTACCTTCGGTCCAATATGATGAACAGACTGCAACGAAGGTGGAATAATTTGCGCAAATCATTATTTTATATTTTTGTTAATGAAATTTTGAACATAGGTTTTGGAATTTTGGAATAACCTTAAATTCGTGATAATTGCTTAATGGAATTCTTGGTAATTGAAACATTCCATTTATTACCGCAGATCATAAAATTTCTATATTTTGAAATAACCTCAAATTTCTTTATGATTATTTACTGTGATTTGTAATAATTAAACCACTTAATTTCATTTCCTAATTACTTTTTTGTTTGGAATTAAAATTTTACTTCCTGAAGGAAAAAGGAATGCAGGACATGATGATCATATAAACAGGTCTCGACACTCGCTAGGGAAAACCGTCCAAAGATTGAGTCGTGACTTGTTGTGGAAAGGCAACAAAATTCGAGACAGATAGACGGAGATGAGTAAACTGTCTCTGTCTCTGTCTGAGACATTCATGATATGTCACGCATGGGTAGAATGATAACTTTCTTGTCTCTTCATGTCGATTTTTTATAACTAGTCATGACTCAATTTTCGGACGATCTTCATTAAGCTTTAATATATGAGTATCGAGATTTATTTGTATGATAGTGGGGTGCGGATTTCTACTAAACGCCCTTGCACAATCCTTTTAGTCACCTCTTACGATAAGCAGGGGCTACTGTAAGTGAATTCTTAAATCCCCACATACAGGGACATATACAGTCGATAAAGTTACTGGGCAGTGGACGTCATCCATCCTTCAGAGTACTGTGGGGAACATAGATTAACTTCAACAAATGCAAAGAATTTTTGCTTTCCCCTAAATCGTACCTATCATTCACTTACAAATATTAATTTTACGATTATAAATGCAATGTAAATATGAGAATATAGAAGAATGTATTATATTTATTATGAATGCGAAATCATTTAAAAAATATCTCATATATCGATTAACAGAACAAATTTCTTTAATTGTGATTTTTTATTGGATTAATTATACTTTAGGTAGTCAAGACTGATACATAATATAATTATAGAAAATAATGTATTCGATCTTTTTATGTTGCATTTCAGAGCCGCATAAATTGATTCTATTTCAATTAAATACAAAATTGTGACTAATGTCTTTTTTACTTTAGAAAAATAAATGATACGCTCACAAATTACTGTATTTTTTTAACTAAAAGTATTTCATATTTTTGTATACTTTAATCATTGTATCTTTTGTAGCAAAGATACTATTATCTTCTTCTTAATTATATATTAATTCCATAATTAGATTAAGATTAATATTAGTTTTTGTACTTTTATTAAATTATCTGTAACATGGAATATATTATATTGTTTTCATTATAAAGAACATTATTCTTTATTGTTCCCTATTTTATCGTTTTAATAAAACCTACCTATAGATAAAAGGAATGCACAATGATATAATTCAATGTTTATTCTTGGACGGTACCTGTTTAATTGCTCGAACAATATATATATATATATACATATATATATATATTAACAATCATCGTATTTCGTTGGGTCGATACAAAAATACAGAAAATACTGATACAGTTAAAAATAATAATTAAAACATTCTGGAGCCCCGCCCAGGAGACAAAGTCGATTTCTGATGATGATGCGCATTAATTTACCCATACGCACATACATACATATACATACATATATATTTATATATATAATATTTATATTTATATATATAGATTTCTTTATTTATATATAGTTTTATGTATAATCTGTAAAGAAGGTCAGTGCCGCTCATTTTCTTCGTTGATCTGTAAAACATATGTACAACGTTCGTTTTACATTACATTAAAAAAAGAGAGAAAAAAAAAAACAGATAATGATCGTACAGTAGAAACTTGATTAAGTAGTCAGACCGTAGAACTTTCTAACCTAACCAACTAACTTTGCATTATTTAACTTTCACTTCTTCATTTAAAACTCATGATAAATTGGTAAATTTATAAAAGAAAAATCTGTTCTGTTATAATTTGCAATAAATATCGTAACTAATCTTTACGTTGATGATGAAAAAGTTTTGTTAATTGGTAGATGAATGTTGGTGAAGAAAAAGTCACTAACTGAGATGTAGATTTAACAGTCTCTATAATTTGATACGCAATATACAACAACAAAACTGGAGATTCTGAAGTTACAAATCTTACAAAATACTTTCGGTTTTTTCTATAATCGAGATTCTACTGTACCAAATAATAAATCTTTCAAAAAAGGAAGAAACAAAATGATACAAGATTCCTCTCTCACTCATGTTCGGGGACGCACAACAGAAAACGGGTACGCTTTGTTCATTTAAATGATCACCTCGCATACTCGGGCCTAATTTTTAATTTTTACGATCACAGTTGCTACGGAAGAAAAACTATACACTGACGTTCCCCGCGCATAGTCTAGAAAAATGTACAAACGCATATAACAACGCTTACATGCGGCCGAGAAAGCTGAAAAAGAGAAAACCTTTTCTCTCTTTTTTTTTCAAAACAGATTCGTCTCTCCTATCATTACGAAGAAAACGCATATTTTGTGAAATGACACGCTCGTCGAGGCCTGTCTTCTTTTTTTAACGTACAGTCCCTTAAGCGCCCGTTATAATTCACCTCGAGTTGTCTTCGAAGAAAAAATATGGAATGTTTTGCTTTCGTTATGGTACATGGACAACGTGATATTAATATTCTGCGATAATCGTATTTACAAGACTTACAAATCGCACCTAAGAGGACACAAACTCGTTACCGGTTGCACTTCAATCTCAATACATAAAAAGCTAAAACATAATTCTTTTTTTTTTCATTATGTTATAAAAGATTCGTGCAACTTATTTTTTATTTTTATCTGTTTTAATGTATTTTCATGTACAGATAAACAATGTTTTTGAGACAGAAGTGCCACAGATACGAGAACATTTCTATATAGAAGCAGTGGCGTAGTCAGATGCACTTTTCTTTTTCTCCTTGAACTTTACTGTAAATAAGCTATAAGTTCAGTACGCTATAGTTCGATACAAGTAATTTAGTCACATTCCGTTCTAAAATTTTACAGTGATATACGTTGCAAAAAGTCGTGTTGTACATACTCAGTCTTGTGCTCCATTAAAAATTGCCTTCATTAAAGATAAATGTATATGATATGTGCACCTGGTGAAGATTGATAGATAGTTTGAAAAAGTAAACCCTATACCAATAATACAATTCGGGACTCTGTTTAGATTTTTGAAAAGAATTATTAGTTATTACTAGTTTTAAACTTCAAAATAAACCGATGACGTGTTTATATAGATCTAAGAAATAACAATTGCAACAGATTTGTGAATAGATCGATACGCCACATCATACAAACATCTGTCAAATGTCCTAAAAATTTCTAGATCGATTCCATCTTGCCGTTACGTTATTCAAATGAGTCTGTTCGCTTTCCAAATCACCTGAAATTTCTAACTACGTCACTGCACCAAAGAGTTAAACTATCTAACACTCGGACTTGTCTTCCTCAACCAACTGCTGTGTATCTTTCCCCGAGTCGATGGGTGTTGGGTCGAGCTCTCTCCTCTTCAGGTGCAATTGTGGTGGATCCTTGTGCTGGATGCTAGATGGTTTCATCTCAGCTGGCAATTCGTACATACTACTAGCGCCGGTACCATTTGTAGCGCCTGTTTCTGTGTTCACCGCGTCGTACATGGGGTTGCTAAAGTCCCTGTTCTTGTTACTTACGTCACCAAGATTGTACTCCACATCCAGAGGTTCCTATCCAATAAATAAGATTTTTTATTAAGACAAATTACTTAATAATTATGGAGATGTGAAAGACATTTTCAAAAGTTTCATAATCCAAAATAATTCAGTCTTATGCCAGAAGAACATCGAAGCTATCAAAGAGGGATTTCAAGTGCTGAGAATTATTACAAAAAGATTTGGCTACTGTTTCCAGTTTTCAAGTAATTTCAAAATCTATTTGAGTTATGTCACTTTTGAAATACATGTGCAATATGAAAAGTTGTATTTACCATTCTTTCATGAGCAGGTACGCCAAATTCAACATTGCTTCCTTGCCTGAAGGATACACTCTGAGCACCAGTTAAACTGCCAAGACCTCCAGGTTTACCACTGTAAAAATTACCGATGATGTTGGAATAATTTGTGCATGGGATGGATTATGAATTACAATAAGAGACTTTAAAGATAGAAACTTTGGAATAAAAGAACTTACAATGGCCGTTTCTTCAGCACCATAATAACAGCTGCAGCTCCAAGGAGGACCAAGACAGAAACAACAATGGGTATAACAATGGCTGCAGTAGCATTGCTCGACCTAGCTCCTAACATAATTTCACAGAACTCTCCATGGAAAAGATTTGGACAATCACACTGCAACTTGTCTTCGACTTCCTGGCATACTCCACCGTTTCTGCAAAGGCAGATTCTCGGCGCAGGAAGTGGTCTTTCATTAGTCGCGTCACAATGACGTTCGTTGGATCGCATCGTCTCTCTTTGTTGCAAAGGACCAATACTATCTGAGCACAGACAGCGGTATCCACCAGGAATCGGGACACATAAATGGGTACACTGGTCCTCGTGACAGGGATTTCTTAAAGAAATGTTGTATTTCTGTTGATGATACACTTTAACTCCTCCTGAATTGGGCAGGGGCTTGACTATGAGCTCTGGTACGCCTCTGCCAAATTTATCCTGTCTGAACAGTTCAGCGGACCTCCTAGTTACCCAATACAGATTGTTTTCAAAGGTATCCAAAGATACTGGGTGTCTTAGGCTATCTCCTTTAAGGATAACTTTTCTGTTCGATCCATCCTGAAAAAATGGCAATTCTTGAAGTGAAGTGAACATTCTGAACTTAACTATTAGGTCACCTGAAAATTTCTAAACCTTTTGCTGTATCTAACTGCAATGTTGCATAAATATTCCAAGTATTATATTACGTTACATTGACATATTACATATGATTATGTTTACAATAACTTGCATTTCTTTTATTTAAAATAGTGACTTGTTGATTTTCTTTTGCTCAGTATATTTCAAAGACCAAATATAAAAATGCAAAGGAGTCGAAAACTACAAAAATTGCATCAATTGGAACCTACCTGTTCAATAGATTCAATGGTGTTAAGCTTGCTGTCAGCCCAGTAAAGAACATGCTGCATAGAATAATCAATGGTAAGTGCAATAGGTTGTCCAATTCTATCATAGACCAGTTGTTTCCTTCTGTCGCCGTCCATCCAAGCGATTTCGATCTTGGGCTGGCTTCCAACGTCTGCCCAAATGGCTCGACCTAGTTCTGGGTCTACTACGATAGAGGTTGGTATTTCTAGACCGACTGTTATCAAACTTCGACGGTATCTACCATCTGCCTTTGAGACCATCACTCTTCCGAATAATGTTGCCCCTGAGGAATCGATTTCTGTCCAGTAGAGATTGCCGGAAATCCAGTCCACGGCCAAACTTGTCAGCCCTGACTCGCCTTCAATAAAGATAATAGTATATTTTAAATTGATTGTATAGTATATCTATACGACTGCAATACCAATATATGCACTATAGTACCATATATATGTAGTATCGAGGAAAAAAGGCCTGTGGCGGCACTCGATAGCAAATACTATCACTCGATAGCAAATACCATCACTCGACACTAACTAGTGTCGGGCGACGGCAGCGCAGTGGTTAGCGCCTTAGGTTGCGAACGTTCGGAACCCGGTTTCGAGTCTCGGCGACCAGAGTCCGATTTCTCTTCCACGATACAAAAAAAAAAAAAAAAAATAAAAAAAAAAGCGGCCGTACCCAGCAGCGACATATTTACAGCGTAAGTATTCCGATACTACATATATAATAATAAATAACGTATTGAAAATGTGTGAGTGTTGACAGTAGAATATATCTTAATATAACAGCGTAAAATTATAATATAAGCAAAGAAATTACTCTTTATATTGAGATCCTGGGCGTATCCA